ACAAGCCACACTTCTTTGTCAGAATGTACCCTACTACAGAGAAAGCATAGCCCAGCTGCCTGTCAGTAAAATCTGTTATATTAGCAGCTGTACTTCTACCCTTATACAGGTTCATCCTCATTCGCCCAGTCCCCAACTCCTCACTTATACATTAAAAACCTAGAAAAATAATACATACCTAAAAGGTCCCAAACACTAAGGCCTTGTCTACACTGCGACTTACAGCGCTGAAACTTTCTTCGCTTAGGGGTATGAAAAATCATACCCCTAAGCGAAGAAAGTTTCAGCGCTTTAAAGTGGCAGTGTAGATAGTACTACAGCACTGGGAACTATTCCCCTCGCGGAGGTAGTTTTATAAAGCGGCACACTTTAACATCAGCTATGTAGACATACCCTTAGCTGTGAAGCGGTAAGCGTTGCTACATACATAACACACCTGACACAAACCCACAAAAGCAGGTTCACTGTAAAGCAAATATTTGACCCAGATGTTGTATTAAGCTACATATTTAACAAGGAAAAAACAGAAATTGGTCATAAATTCAACATGACCAAGACAATTGCAATAGAAACAGAAACCTTAACTTTTACTTTTTACTATTTATCGAGGACATCTCAATATTTCATTAACTTTTTTTTGCATTTAATTTCCTACAGTTTTTAAAGGGGAAAAACACACGCTTGAATTAATCACTCCAACAGTCACTTCAGGGAGGAACATGTCCACTTCTTTTTGAGTGCCTCTCGGGTGCCTCTATTATGTACACACTCCTTTAATTGCAAAATTAATTACAATATGTGCATTATTTCTTGAGGTGCACATTAAAGAGGCATGGGTGTAACATTTTCAAGGTCCATACAAGTGCCTCTATGAAGTAAACCAGGAACATATTGGGAAGGCAATCCCCACTTGGACAAGTGAACCAGGAATTAGCCCCACGACCTCCTCCCAAACCTAAGAAGAGCAAAGGGACCTAAGTAGCTGGGGAGTCAATTCAAAATAAGGGAATCTGCTCTTTGCCATAATTTCAAACTTCTCCATTTATGGAAACCCCTAAACATCCTGGGACTATAAAGCCTGAGATATTAGATCACACCTTAAAACACCACAGTGAGGGTGAGGAGACTAAGAACACTGAGGGGTTAGATAAGGAATGGAAAGGTCTCGATATATGGGCAAAGATTAACCTGTTTTTGTAAAGCTCACATTTCCTGAGCTTCAAAAGAGATTATCACTCTCAATAAAAATTGCAATGATTTGCTGATTTACCAAAAATTTAGTCTATCTAAACTGCAAGAGCTCCTAAAGCTAGCTGAACAGGTCCTGACAAACAAAACCTGTAAGTTTCTATTTACTCACACAATCCTACTCGCACCAGTTTCAAATTCCATACAGGGAAAAAATGCTATTTCATGTTAACCTTTGCAGTTACTCAATATACTGTCTCATAGATCTCTCATGTTTTTAGATCACAGATGAGTTTTGCCCATCTCAGTAGCTGAATGTTTAAAATTAGACTAAGCAACTCAGACAGTAAACTGTAGCATTACTTGGTAACCTTTTTTTTTTTTTTTAAATGAATAGGTCATAAAGTTAAACACCAATTTAGTTTCTTAAAAATTTAAATTTAAGAGAGATCACATACTGTGAAATGTTTTCATTTTGTTCTCCCTAATATTTTTTTCTTCTGTCTCTATTACAAAAAACACCTTCCCTCCCCTCCACTGCTGACATAGGCAGATGCCTTTTTCAGTTACCTGCAAAAAGATCTGAAATGGCAACACGGAGGAAGACAGTGCTTGCTGCCGAATAAAGAAAATCTGCTACAAAGTAGGCGTACACAAATATCTAAATGCAGTATTTGAATGAATGTTGAAAAAACAAAAGTTGTATTCTCACAAGTCCGAATTTAAAACTGAAAATTAGATACTGGGACACAATATAATCACATTTATATGTGATATTTTATTACAGGAGAATGTTAATAAGAATCAATAGTCAGTAAACCTTACATCCTCACAAACTTTAACCTATTAGGGCTGGTCTACACTGGGGGGCTCGATGTAAGATATGCAAACTTCAGCTATGCGAATAGCGTAGCTGAAGTCGAAGTATCCTATTCGACTTACCCCGCTGTGAGGACGGCGGCAAATCAACCGCCGCGGCTCCCCCATCGACGCCGCTTACTCCTCCTGACGAGGTGGAGTACGTGCGTCCATTCGGGGATCGATTTATCGCGTCTAGATGAGATGCGATAAATCGATCCCCGAGAGATCGATTTCTACCTGCCGATCCGGGCGGGTAGTGAAGACGTGCCCCCAGATATTATTCTATTGTATTTTGTTAATAAATTGCTATAATCAATTATGAAAAATTTGCACTGAAGATTCTTTCAGTTCTAGTCTTAATGTTAAAAGTTAGATTGAGGAGTACTTCACTATGCAAATACTTTCAATGATTTCCATAGAACTACCTACAAAGTAACATACTAGTGAACATAAATAAGGGTGGCAGAATTGAGCCAAAAGTGATTATGATTTCCTATCATTCCATATTTTACAATAATAGCATCAGAGAAAAATGTAGGGCTAGAAGGAACCTCAGAAGTGACCACTGAGGCTATACCGAGTAAACCTAGACCATCCCTGACCAGTGTTTTTCCAACCTGTTCCTAAAAACCTCCAACGATGGGAATTTCACAACCTCCTGTGTAAACCTATTTCAGAGCTCAACTACTCTTATAGTAAGTAAATTTTTCCTTATATCTAACCGACATATCCGTGTGATGGGGTGTATAAGCCCACACCGGGGAACCAAGGATTAAAGAGGAGCTCTGGGCCCAGAAGGCCCTACCCAGCTGCACCTGCTGCACATGTTCACAACAGAGGCCACAAAGGCAGGCAGAGTAAGGGAGCAGTCCTAAACTGTTTGCTCCTGCAGAGAGGCCGGAGGAGCTCCACACCACCCAGAACAGACCCTGTTGCTGAGCCGCCCCATGGAGACGGGGAATAGTGGGCCTCCAGATCACTGTCAGGGGAACCCCCCTGGCAACAGGTAGGAAGTGACTCAGGGAGCAGGCTTGTGGCATCTGCCCCCAGGTCACATATTCAATGTACCAATCACAGGGCCCTGGGGTGGAACCTGATGAAGCAGGACAGGCCTGGGTTTCCCTACCCACTGCAGGCCGACACCACTGGACTCTGACGCAAATCCCTTCCCCACCCCACCCCCAGTGACAACTGGCGGAGAATGCAGGCACCAGCCCAGTCCCATTAGAAGGACAGCAGCTGTACCAGCATATCGGCCCAAGGAGAGAGTCAACAACAGAAGGCAGTCCAGCAACAGCAGGGTCAGCCACTGCCCAGCAGCAGCAGCAAGCGACCCAACAGCAGCAGCAGCAGCTACTCCAAGAGCTGGTGGCAAAGCAGCAGGAACTACAGCCACACCTAATTCAGCAGGCAGCAACACTCTGCAGTCCCAGGGTGCATCTAATGCCATGGCGCCAGGACCCTCAGGTAATGTCCTTCACCCACCAGGCAGCCCATCGGGCTCTCAAAAATGGGCCCCGGGGACAACCAAGAAGCATTCTTGGTCATCTTTGAGCAGGTAGTCATGGCAGCATGCTAGCTGCAGAAACACTGGTCCACCCTCATAGCGCCATCCATCCAAGCTGCCTACAGGGGCCTAGATTGCATAAAGGCACTGGATTACATTACAGTAAAAGCAGCCATTTTAGTTTACATGGATATCAACCCCAAGACATTCTGCCAACAATTCAGTGATTGAAGGAGAAGAGTCTCTGGATCACCATCAGGGAGAAACCCCTCAGAAACAGGTAGGAAGTGACCCAGGGAGTAGGCTTGTGGCAT